TCAGCCTCAGCACTTGCAGCCATTCCTCATCTTCATCATCCTCACAGAGCATTGTAACTTTATGTGTACGCATAAAAACTGGAGGGACTTGTCTTAGAGTTTGCTGCTGCCACCACCGCTGCCGTTAGAGCAGGTTTAATTAGCTGCAGGATTTTAATGAGCTGAAATCAAGAAGAACCCCATCTCAGAAGTGAGCAGGAGCCGCACACACGGAAGAATTCGTCTGACAAAACAGATGGAGGTGGTATTCTCAGGGGACTGGGTTGTGTGCTTTGTTTCAACAAAGTGCAAATGAGTTACTGGGGCCAGGAGGCTGAGGCAGGGAGCCAGGGAGGTCAGCCTCAGTGCCGGCCTCAGTGGGGGCAGAGCTGGAGGTACGGCCCCCTCTGCTGCCACGGCAGACTGCTCGGTGCCGGATTCAAGGTGACGGCAGTGCCTGGCTCCATTCTCCTCAAGTTGCCATAGCAGCCTCTCTCCCGATGAGCAGCTTCTCCTGGAGCCCTCAGCTGGGAGGGACGTCATTGTTCGTTCCTGCCGGTTTGAGGAGGAGACTGGCTGGACAGAGAACTTTCCCAGGCCTGGGGTCTGCACACCAAGTGGGTGCACCCACGGGCATGTGGCTGGATGCCTCCTGCTGCCTCCAGTGGGGCACGGGGTGGGTCCCCACAGCCAGAGGGGCCCTCTGAGTGACTGGAGGAAGTGTCCAGGCCTTGGAGCAGCCGCAGCCAAGTGTGCCCTTGGAACCGTCCGTCCGTCTGCCTGCCGGCCCTTCACCATTGGAGGTGCGTGTGTTTTGGCTGAATTCCCAAGTCCTTGCTTGTGCCCTGAAGTGAATTTTCTAAAGAGGCAAATTTTTAAATCAGATAAATAAGGAAATAGGAGAAATCCTTGGCCCTGCCCTGTGTCCCAGGAGGTGTTTACAAGATTAATTGGATTTCTCTTTCTTACTGTAAAAATTGGTGACGCCATTCGGACCTCAGGGAGAGAAGCCGCTGGGAGGACCAGGGATTGTGAGGAGGGCAGGACCTTGTGAAAACTCCATGGGCTGTTTATTTTTCTTGCCTTACCCCTCCCTCCTCCACCCCCAGCTATTTGAATTTTTTTTATTGCCTGTTGGTCTTGGAAGGGAAGCAGGGAAGTAGGGGAGGGTTTTCCACTTGTGATTGGAGCTGAGTGTGATGCAGTGAGTGGTGAGGATGCACCAGTCCCAGGTGGAGGCAGAGGCCTGTGAATGTGTGCATGGGGCCCCGGGCAGCCCAGCCCCAGCCTGGGACAGGGCAGTATGCCCTCTTCTAGGCAGCAGTTCAACTCCCAGGAGAGGGAGACAGCATCTTTGGACAGCATCTCCCCGTTGCCTAGAAAATAATGTGTGACTTTGAACGCAAGGACCCTCACAGGAACAAAGGGAATCAGATGTGCATCCTGTCTGGAGTGTCTGGTGGTCTGTTCGTGACTTCCCATCTACCTCCCCTTTGAAGGATGGAGGTTACTACACATTCTGTGAGGTTGGCCCCCTCCTGGGGCATTGAAGACCCAGCCAGATTACAAACCAGGGTTGGGGGCATGCTAACCTTTGATTCCTGTTTGCACAGAGCAGAGAGAGAGCAGGTCAGATGGTCTCCAGTGAGAGTGGACCCTGGGAGGAGGGTCCCAGCAGGGGAAGACTGGGGTCTGAGGCTGAGGGGCTGGGGTGGGCAGGGGAAGCCATGCACGTCTCTAACACCAGCTTCCCTGGGCATGGAGAGGGTGCGCACGTCCTCTTGGGGGCCAACAAAGGGGAGAGTCTCTGAAATGAGACACCTGAACCTTTGTTGCTCCTGCCATGGTGAAGATGCAGGTCCTGGGGCTGTTTTCTTCCCTGTCCCAGATTTGGGGGTGGGGATGTGGTCCTCATCCTGACTCCCAGGCACATGGGCTGCCGGAGCCTGGCTCCACTTGGTGAGCTTGGTTTGGGCAGGTTCAGAAACAAGTGAGGACAGGTTGTGGCTGCAGGACATGGGGAAGTCTCTCCTGGCCTGAACAGCGACGGTGTAACAGATCAGAGAGAAGAGGGAACTGACCAGCTCTTCTGTGGTCACTTCTGCAGTGCCAGATGCTGTATAAACAATTCGATGGTAAAACCACATGCGTCTGAGTCCCCTTTTTCCATCAGTAGTCTTTGGGTCGACATCGGGTGGCACTTTATTCGCTATTTTACCTGGCAGCTGTGTATGCTGGCCAACAACTTGCTGTCCTTTCTTTCCTCCTTCCCTCTCCCTGTCCTTATGAAGTGTCCTGACCCCAGAGCTCACCCTGGATCAGATCAACCTCCTGACGTCGTGTCTGACACAGGAGGCTGTGTCTGCAGAAAGTGTGCCAACACCACGGCTAGCATAAGCTGGGTTTCCTTATGGCTGGAGCCTTGCTTCTGGGCTGACCCCTGGGCCCTGCATGCGGGGCCTGTGATCACTGAGGGAAGGGGCTGGGAAAACACAGGGTGTCGGCCGTGGGCGGTGTGGAGAGTGTCCTCGTTCTTCCCCGGGGCCT